CCTCACTCCCTTCTCCATCTATCATGAAGATGCCAATTGGCTCAGTGGTGAAAAACTGTCTCCTTGATGTTAAGCTTCAATCCATATTGAAGACTACAGCCCTTGACCTTCAGCAGCAAACATTTCAGATCCTCTTCAGTTTCAGCAAGCCAAGCTTTATCATCTGTGTAACACAGGTTGATGACGAGTCTTCTTCTAATCCTGATGCCACATTCCTCCTCATAAAGTCCAGCCCATCAAAAGGTCTGTTCTACATACAGAGTGAAAAAGTTTGGAAACAGGACAAATCCCTGATGCACTTCTTTCCTAATTTTCAACTATGTTGTGTTTCCTTACTTTGTTCTGATGACTGTCTCCTGAAGGAAGTATAGGCTTCGCATGAGCAAAATCAGGTGTTTGGGAATTCCCATTCTTATCAAGGTTAGCCATAATTTACTGTGATCTACAGTAAATGCCTTTGCAATGAAACAGATATTCCTCTGATACTCTTCTGCTTTCAGCCAAGATCCATCTGACATTGGCAATAATGTCTCTAATGCCACAGCCCCTTCTAAATCCAAATTGTTTATCTGATAGTTCTCTATGAACGTACTGTCACTAAAAGGCAACTGTGTTATATAAGATCACAAATGCAAGGGCATTTGACTGTGTGGGTCACAACAAATTGTGATTAACCTTGAGGAGAATGGGAATCCCAGAATACTTGATTGTGCTTATGTGAAACCTATACTTGGACCAGGAAGCACTCCTAGAACAGAGCAGGGAAACACTGCATGGCTCAAAATCAGGAAGGGTCAAGGATGTGCCCTGTCTCCATATCTTTTCAATCTACATGCAGAACAGATCATTTGGGAGGCTGGGCTTTATGATGAGGAATGTCGCATCAGGATTGGAGGAAGGAAGACTTATCAACAACTCATGTTATGTAGAGAACACACCTTGCTGAAACAGGCAGACCTAAAACATTTGCTGCAGAAGGTCAAGTGCTGTACGTGGTCTTCAATATGGACTGAAGCTCAAGAAGACAAAGATTCTCACCAGTGGGCCAACTGGAAGCACCATGATGGATGGAGAAGAGATTGAGGTTGTTAATAATTATAGCTTGCTCGGCTCCTCAAATCAACACTCTTGGCACCAGAATCAGGAAATCAAAAGACCAATTAGGTAAATCTGCTCTCAGGGACCTCTCCACAGTGCTGATAAGCAACGATGCCAATGTAGAGACTAAGGTGCACCTAATCCAGGCCATGGTCTTTGCAATCACTTGCTATGCTGGACTGTGACTAAGGATAACAGAAGAATCGGTGCCTTTGAATTGTGGTGCTGGAGAAGAGTCTTTTTTAAAAATTTTTTTTCTTGATTTGTACCGTCGAATCTGATCCAACTGGCAGAGGAGGAGATTGCCCCTCCTCCAGCAGAGCATCTGGTGGATTTGAACCACACAACTTCAGTATTGCAATGCAACTTCTTTGCCAGTAGGCCACCAGAGATCCCTTGGATAATAGTCTTGAACATACCATGGACCACCAAGAAAACAAATAAATCTGTCTTGGAAAGGGTGAAGCCAAGTTTCTCCTTGGAGTTTGGGAATTTGAAGCTCTGTCACACATACTTTGGACACATGGCCAGGAGAGATCTGTCCTTGGATAAGAATATCTTACTCAGAAGGGTGAAGGGACAGCACAGGAGAGGAATACCCGGGATGAGACAGATTGAAACAGTAACTGGTACAATGGGAGTAGATGCGTAGGAATTAGTGAGACTGGCTCAGGATAGGGCAGGCTTCAGAGCTGCTGTACATAGAGTTGTTATGGGTTGCAGGCAATTCAACAGCACATAACAACAACAACAACACAGTAGAAACGATTTCTGGTTTATATTCAGAAATAATCATGGAGGGTAAGCACAGAGGAAAAGGAAGTAAAAATTAGATAAGTTGGGAGTAAAGGCAATATACAATAATATTTGATTGTTATTGATTGCCTTTGAGTCGAGCATGACTCATAGTGACCCTATGAACAAAAGGCTTGAAGCCCCTCTACAATCATTGACATTTATCAAAATTCATAAAGTTTCCAGAGGCATGTTGTTTAGGAAGTGGATGCCACTCCTGCTTCCAATATATTTGATCAGACATTGTAATAAATTGTTATATGCTGTGGAGTCAGAACTGACTCATAGCTGACACTGTAACAGGTTTTCAGAGGCTGTAAATCACACAAGAAGAGATCATTCATCTTTCTCCTTTTTGTAATGAATTACACTTTAAAGAGCCCTCAAACTCATTGTCTTTGAGTAGGAACTAACTCACAGCTGGGCCTCCAGAGGGTTTTCAGATACCATAAATCACATGGGAAGACAGTCTGATCTTTCAACACAGAACAGCTGGTGGACTCAAACCACTTGTCTTTGGGTTGACAGCATAATTCCTTACTCACTAGGCCACCAGAGCACCCTAGTTACATTAACCAATTACAATTAGTGTTATAAAACATGTCTGTACATGACTGAATTTAAAAAAAATCAATGATTTCTAAACATCCACTCAGATCAAACTACCAAAAACAAAGAACCATTTAAAGGACAAAAGGAACAGATTAGAAAAGCCATGGGAATTACAGATTGCATATTCCTGGATTATAAGAAGGAGTGAGATGGCCCTGGAGACCAGGTCATGAAGACCCAGGACTGCCAGAAAAGTGAACTCCACCGTGTTTTCAGTGGCTGATTTGCAGGAAATAGAACACTCAGCCTTTCTTCTGAGACACCCCTGGGGGGACCCAATTCTCAAAACAGCCAAGCACATCAACACTTTATGCCACCCACAGCCTTTCACACAGATCAAACTAAAAGCGCTAAGATTCCTTTCCTTTCTTTTAACCAAAACCTCTTTGACTCCATGGAGTTGGCAGGATAACGGTGATCTAAGTCTTTTAAATTAAAAGAAAGCATTCCTAACAATAAAGGTAAATATACTTGAGTCTAGTTCTTGCTGACTATAAAATCTTTTTCTGAAAAATTATTGCAGCGGTATTTTCTATCTGATTCAGGAAATGAGAATAGTACCAGTTAGTCAGCTGTAATAGACACCAATTCTGAAATGTCTGCAGTTCAGGTCTAACTTTAGAAGGTATCAAGTAAGATTAGAAACTTTAGAGCAAAATGTGTTTCCCTTAATCATGAGGTAAGTCTGTCTGCCTGAGAACATTTGATAGCTCTGAATCAGAGAAATTCTGAATCTTCAAAGATTGTCTGAATCTTTGAAATCACAAATACTGAATATATTACTGGTATTAGACAACATCTACCTGCTCAAACGCAAATACTACTTTTAAAGTTACTGAAAAGACTATCACATACATAACTAATTTGCATGAACCTCTGGATAGAGCTGGTAGCTTTGTATTTGTTTATGTCTTTGAGTTAATAGAAAGCAGAAATGCTGAATATGGGGTCCATAAAGTCTGTGAATTTAAATGGAAAAAATGCATCCATATTTTTATGATCCTCTAACTAAAACTGAGATTTTGTTCCATCACAGACCCCAACCCCACAGTGTTATAAACAGTGCAATAACCTTGTCAGCACCAGTAAAAAGTACAGACATTCAATACTTGAAATTAGACTCCTTTGCTAGATTTTGTTTTTACTGTGCTATTAAAGAATATATATATATATTTCAAGGTCTAATGATATTTTGGTAATTAAATTCCATTATAATTACTTTCCTTTATAATTCTACATATTTAATACATTTTAAAACTTCTTATGAGGAAGGTTGCAAATGTTTTATCAATGAAGTTCATTTCATACACACACACACACACACACATGTTTATACATGTGTCTGTGTGTGTTTGTGTGCACACATGTGAACACTGACATTTGTTTCAAAATTGTAAGAATGAAATGAAGACATTCTCAAAGATGCATTCAACCTTTAAAGCTAGGAGTAAGGGGAAGGATTGGTCTTGAAACAATTTCTTTGGGAATGCTGCAAGCCTGAAGGCCGGTGTGAATGTTGTCCTGTATCCTAAGCGGCTTGCTGGTTCTCTATGTTGACTACAGGGACCAAGTACATCTTCACCAAGTCTATAACCCCACTTTCCAGCACAGTGTAATGCAGAGCATGTCCTGGATAGAGTGTGTACAGAGTGAATGAAAATACAAACTGCACAGACATTCTTACCGAAGCCATTATGCTAGTGGTCACGCAGAGTGAGGTGGACAAGGGTGAAAGTGTAGGGGCAAAACAAGGTGGGAGGTAACTGGGTATGAGGTCCTAGGACAATTATTGAGATATTTGTTGTTGTTGTTGTAAGGTGCTATCGAGTTGTAGACGACTCATAGCGACCCTGTGAATAAAAGCCCTGATATAACTTTCATCCTTTCTCCAGGTGCATAGAGTTTCCAGAGGCAAGCTATTTCTGAAGTGGATGCCACTCCTGCTTCCAAGCCTGTTTTAATTGGGGAGCTCCACCAAACACTCTCCACCATGGGTAACCATTATCACATTTGACCCATCAGTCTCACAGTGTCTAGCATCACAACAACCGAGTTACCTCTGTACAGCAAATGGACAGACCAGTGCTATACCACCTAGAAGAATGTTTGGCCAAAAACAATTAAAACCAGGCCTGAGGGCCTCAGATAAAAATCAACTCACCTATGGCTTGGTAGCATCACTTTCTATTTGGAGATGGAGGATGTATAAAAAAGGGACACCTTGTTTTCAAGAATTTCAAAACAGACCTTTCAACAGTTATTTTTTAAGAATCTTGCTGGCAGTATGAAACTAGCATCCCCATCACCCCGCCCCTGCCATTTGTGTCCCCACCCAGCCTCATGTGGCCATGCTTTCTCTCACATGTAGGGCTGGCTCCCTGCTACAGATAAAACTCCTGGCACAGCGGCATTACACACTTCATCCAGACATACTCGCTGTGCAGCACAGATTTCCAGAGCAAGCCTCGCCCAGCCTCTGCGCTGAAGGCTTCTGTGCACATCTCTGCAGCTGTGGGCTCACAATGCCAGCTGTCCAGTTGCTGCTCCTGGCCTGCCTGGCCTGGGGTACAGGGGTCAGGACAGCCCAGCTCCAGAAAGCCAATGACTGGAGTGGCCAGTGCCAGTACACCTTCGTCGTGGCCAGCCCCAGTGAGTCCAGCTGCCCTGGGCCAGGCCAGGCTGTGTCAGCCATCCAGGACCTCCAGAGAGACAGCAGCACCCAGCGTGCAGACCTGGAGGCCACCAAGGCCCGGCTCAGCTCCCTAGAGAGCCTGCTCCAGCGGCTGACCGGAGATCAGTCGGCCAGCCCCTGGGACACTGAAGGAGGAATGTGGAGGGAGCTGAGCAGCCTACGGAGGGAGAGAGACCAGCTGGCAACTCAAGGCAAGGAGTTAGAGGTGGCCTACAGCAACCTCCTCCTCGATAAGTCTGCCCTGGAAGAAGAGAAGAGCCAACTGAGGCAGGAGAACGAGGACCTGGCCAGGAGGCTGGAAAGCAGCAGTCAGGAGGTAGCAAGGCTACGGAGGAGTCAGTGTCCTCAGGGCCCAGATGCCTCTGAGGATGTGCCACAAGGATCCAGGGAAGGTAGGCGTGTGGGGTGGGGAGGATCTGAGTCCAGCAGGTGATAATGTTCACAGTGACCTGGCCCAGAGTAGCAAGCCTGCTCCCTCCTCTCTCCAGAGACCGGACATCTAGCATGGACAGAGAAAGCCAGAAGGGCCAAGCTTTCATTTTCATAGATTACCAGTAATTTAACTTCTGTTTGGCTTATATCAGTGGGTCCATGCTCTCATGGCTGCCCATGACAAAAATTTCACAGATCAGTGAAAAATGTAATGACTGAGCTAGAGGAGGAGGGAGAGGAGAGAGAGAGAGAGAGAGACAGAGAGAAGCCCAAACTTGCTGCTACTGAGTTGATCATAACTTCCACCAGATTTCCAAAGAGTCCTGGTGGCTTGGTGTTAACATGTGAGAATACTAACAGTGAGGTCTACAGTTTGAATCCCCCAAGTGATCTGAGGGAAAAAAAGATAGAACAGTCTCTTCTGTAAAGAGTTATAACCTTGGAAATCTGATGGAGGGTTACTGAGCCAGAATATACTTGACAGCAGTGAACGAATCCTCAGAGAGGATAGCCTCTTTCTCTCATGGAGAAGCTGTTAGAATAGAACTACTGAACATTTACACACATTTGGAATCCATTTATCTATCTTTAAACAGTATCCTGAGGGAGCTCTGGTGGCCTAGTGGCAAGAAGCTGCACAGCAATCACAGAGGTACACAGTTCGAATTCATCAGCTGCTCTGCTGGAGAAGGAGGGGCAATCTCCTCCTGTACCAGTCAGATCTGATTTGATGGTACACACACACAAAAGAATAAAATAAAATAAAAATTTTTAAAAAGTATCGAGAAAGAAGGGACCAATAATGTATACTGCATTGAAAAAGATGATAGAGAGAACTGTTTAAAAGCGACAGATGATCAGGTATTATTATCATGACAGGAGTCCAGAATGAAGGCTGCATAGTGGAGTACACTTGGAGGGGAGGGACTGTATAACAATGAAGGAATTTTTCTTTTACTTTTCAAACAGAAGAGCGAATGGGGGGTGGGGAGGTGGGGCAAGGAGAAAAATGCAATAATGAATGAATGGAAATCCAAAGTCTCTTCTCTGTAAATGTTCATGGAAATTAATAAAACAAAAAGTATCCTGGTGTTGCAGTGTGTTGAGCTGCTACGTAAAGTTCAGCAGTTCAAATCTATCAGCTGCTCTGCAGGAGAAAGATGAGAAGTATTCTCCCACAAAGATATAGAGCCCCACGACTTTGAAGGAGGGCTGCCAAGAGGTGGCTGGCAGTGGAAGTGGGAGCACATATAAAATGAGATGACCGACACAGTGACTGCAAGAATGGGTTAAACACAGCAGGGATCACGAAAATGGCATAGCATAGGGCAGAGTCTGACTTTGCTGTGTACAGGGTTACTGCAAATTGGAGTCAAATTCACGGCGCCTAAAAGCAAGAGCACATATTCGCCAACTGTCCATTTTCAAAATTATCTCATTTTTCTGTTTGTTGTGATTTGAGTGAAAGTTGACAAAGCAAATTGATCCTGCCATCCTCACTCACATGCGTTTTGTTTTATAACTTTAATCACAATACTCACCATGCAACCTGCTTCATCCCTGTGATCTTTGCTTCCATTAATCTTTCTATCCTGTCCCTTGCTGCCTTCTCTTTGGGCTTTATCTTTGGCCAATTGCTGCCCTTTTGACATTTTGAAAAACCAGCCTCCATGGTGTTACTATTCACTTTAAGATCTGTCTATTGTTTGACTGAAAGTTGAGCCATGAGGTAAATTTTGCTCCCATTCTGAACGGTAACTAAGAGCCATAGTATTGGGTATTGGGGGTTCTACCAGTTGCTATCAAACGAGTATATCTAGTCATTTTTATAAAGCTATTCTTTTCTGGGTATTTATCCAAAGATTGTTATTTCTACCTTTTGGTGTTAAAATGATCTCTATGACATGACAATAATTTGATTCATTGCCACTAAATCAGTTCAAACTCACAGAGACTTTTCATATTGTTTCCAACGCTAGAAATCTTAACAAGCGACTTCCCACCTTTGTCCTGAAGATTGGCCAATGGATTAAAACCACTGGAGACAAAGGACCTTTTAATTAGCAGCACAACATGATATGGACTAAACAGAATTCCTTTTAGGATGACAATAGATGAATGATATGGTAATGGATGATAGTTTTGGCATTTGCTCTTTTTAATGTCTTTCTTTGGCAAATTAAAGAGCTGGTAACCCCTTGCCAGTCCTCCCAATGTGCTTTCCTAGAAACTACCTGTACTTCTGTCCAGTCTGAGAACCTCTGTTTAAGGCACCAGGGACAATCCTAGGGGAGCTTTTTCTAAGTGAGAAGCCTCTGTTCATCTGGGTCCCTGATTCCTGGAGATGGGTCTGTGAGTGTGTGTATACCTGTGAGGGGCAGGTACAGCAAGGGCACAATGTCCTCATTAATTGGGAAGGCAGTGCAGATAGTCCTGGGTTAGGAACAAAAACCATTTCTGTGTCTTTAAGAATCTGTAGGTTTAAGGTTTTAAGTGGCAAAGAAGCTGCATTGAAATCCAGAAGGCAAATGGTTCAAATCTACCAGATGCTCCTCTGGAGAAGTACGGGCAGTTGGATTGGATTTGATGGTACACAATTTAAAAAAGAAAAGAATTTGTAGTTTAAGTCAGAACAGGTACATATGGTTCTTATTGAGGCTTATATTAGTGCAAGAAAAGACTTAAAAACTTTTCAATGAAGTGACAGCTGCACATGCAGTCAGTGAAGGTGATTGTGAAGGCTATTTTAATTTATTTTTATTTTTATTTTTTTAGTATGAGTTGGTCTGTCCATTTGCTGTACAGAGGTAACTCGTGTTGCTGTGATGCTGAACACTGTGAAATTGATGTGTCAAATGTGATAATGGTTCCCCATGGTGGACAGTGTTTGATGGAGCTCCCCAATTAAAACAAGCTTGAAAGCAGGGGTGGCATCCACTTCTGAAATAGCTTGCCTCCAGAAACCCTATGAACCTGGAGAAAGGATGAAAGTTATACAAGTGTTCAGGTCTTTCATTCATAGGGTCGCTGAGTCATCTGTGACTCAACAACACTTAACAACAACAACAACAATAGTTTAAGGTTCCAGTCCTTGGAAAATGGCAGCATGTTGAGAGAAGTGGATGGTCAGAGAAGCGAAGATCTTCAGCATGCTGGATTGATATGGTGACTGTGGCAATCGGCTCGAGTGTGTCTCAGATTGTGGGGATGGCGTAGGATAGGAGAGTCAGTGAGACAGAACCAAATCAATTATGCTGAGTTTTTATTGTAATCTCCGCAGTTATCAGAAAATTGACCCTTGTAGTCTTTCCCCCAAATGAAAAGAGTCAAAGATTATGAATCCTATTTGGTCATCAGAGTTCATTACAGCTACTCTACTGATTAGATTTGACTCATAATGTTGCTATAGAATAGAGGCGAATCTGTGCAAGGGCTTCCCAAGGCTGTGGCCATTACGGAAGCAGATAACTTAGCCTGTCTCCCGCTGGAGCTACTGTGTATGTCTAATCTGACAGTCTTTTGATTAGCAACTGGGGCTGAACCACTGTGTTACCAGTGCTGCTCGGTAGTGTCTTGTTGCTATTATGTGCTGTTGAGTTGGAACAGCTGACCCTCCCATGGGTTTTCAGAGGCTGTGAACTGCACAGGAGAAGATAGCTCATATTTCTTCCTTGGAGCAGCTAGTAAACTCGAACCCCTGCTTTTGGGTTAACAGTGCCACTCCTTATAACTAAGCTACTAGAGCTCCCTCTGTGGTCTCTTAGTTTCCTTCAGTGTAAAGCAGGCCCCTACATTCTTTATCAACATTGAAATCTTTGAGGAGTTCCAACTAATTGTCCTACAGTCTAAATTTACCAGCTGTTTCTTTATTAGAAAAGTTTTAAAACAGTGAATATTTGGGAGCACAACATTAATAAAAATATATAAACTATGTAAGTTCCCGGGTTACCAACATTTGATTTATAGACAACTCATATTTGCCCTCTAATGTTATAGAAGTCTGCCTTCACTTTGAAATGACTGTACCAACCCATGTTGTTGTTGTTAAGTGCCATCAAGTTGTAGACAACTCATAGTGACCCTATGAATGAAAGACCTGAACATTGGTATAACTTTCATTCTTTCTCTAGGTTCATAGAGTTTCTAGAGGCAAGCTATTTCAAAAGTGGATGCCACTCCTGCTCCCAAGACTGTTTTAATCAGGGAGCTCCACCAAACACTGTCCACCGTGGGTAACCATTATCGCATTTTACACACAGCAAATGGATAGACCAGTGCTATACCACTTAGAAGAATGTTTGGCCAAACACAATGAAAACCAAGCCTGCAGGCCACAGATTAAAATCATCCACCTTTGACTTGGTAGCCTAACAGTCTATCCACTAGGCCAACTAAATGAAGTGTACTTATGTCTGCTATACATGTATGTGGACAACACTGGGGACATTTCTCTTATATTATTATTTGTGGTCATTTAACACTACGTTGGGGGATTTCCTAACATGTTCTCTAATTTTGTATTTCTTTTCTGTCCTTTCCAACTGCTCTATTTTTTAAATAGGGGCAAAAATTATTAAAATGAGCTCTAAACTTGGATATTATTTTCATGTAGTAGATTTTTTTCAAGAACAGAAAATTATATTAGTACAAGATTGTAGAACTGGAGCAGAATCTGGAATCATCTTGTACCACCAACTCACTTTGGCAAAATGAAAACTGAGGTCCCAAAAATACTGAACATATGCGCGGCCATCGAGCCAGTTAGGAGCAGAACCAAGCTCAGATCTTGGACCTCTCTACCTGGGGCCAGATGGCCTTCATGGTTCCCAGTTGTCCTGTGGTTTGGAGAACCAAAAGATGAAAGACAGAAAAGTGCTTTTTAATATCTTGGAAAGAAATTAAAGGAACAAAAGGCCTCTTTCAAGTCCTAGATATGAAGTCAAGTGATATTTTAGGGATC